TGTTTATCAAACTTCCATGGATGGATAAGGCTTCTGTTGATATTGAAAGGGAAACTAAGAATATTATGGAGAATTTGTTTTTGGCAAGCAATGTTATCTTTATACTTTCAAAAACAACTATTCTACCACCCACACCAAAAAAATCTCTACCGAAAAATCTTTTAGCCAATGAAATTTATGAATATAAATGTGAGTGTGATGCTCGCTATGTAGGTAGAACGTCTCAAACGTTGGGTGATAGGATCAAACAGCAAATACCAACTTCAATCAGAAATGGGACAGTCCCCTCAAAACAACAAACAAAACGTGACTGTAAGAAAGTAATTTAGTTCATGTGACTCCGCGATAGGTAAACATCTCTTGAATAACTCCCATTGTGCTGATACTTATACAGACGACAATTTTAGAATCATTAAGAAATGGCGTTGATTCTTTCCAGTACGCTTTATGGAGACTGTTTTAATTAAGCTAACCAATCCCGTCTTCTGACGACAAAAGGATTATGTTTTTAATTTATCCATGTTTTAAGCGTCATCTCCCCATTTGGAGATGACGTATTCTCTTTCTTGGTATTATAAATATCGGTAGATTGTAAATTTTCATTTAGTAGACGTTGACACCTGAGGAATAGTTTGCCGAAATGCATCGTGTCGTTTAATTTAGAACTATTGGGTTAGTGCTCTTTACTTAAAACAGTTCTTTTAAGAACTATCAACTTATCATATTGGGATATTTATATGTACATATAACCCTGAATATTTTGGATTTGAGATTTCTATAGATTGCAATATCTATATGCTTTTTTTTTATCAGTTGTCGACTCTGTTAGACTTCGGGGACCAAAAAGTTCTAGGGGCAGAGGTCGTGTGGAAGTATTTTACAACGGAGAGTGGGGAACAATTTGCGATGATTATTGGGATTTAAACGATGCTAAAGTTGTTTGTCGACAACTTGTTTATGACTATGCTGTCAGGGCTTTACTAGGAGGCAATGTTCCTTATGGCAGTGGAAGAATATGGTTAGATGTCGTCCATTGTGTAGGAAACGAAAATAATATTTCGAGTTGTTCACACAGAGGATGGCAATCACATAATTATCGACATTATAAAGATGCTGGTGTACAATGTTCAAGCTTGTATTTGCATTATTTACCTTTTTATACAAAGATGATAAACTGAATTATTTGGCGGGTCCTCTATGATTAATTTAAACATTTAATATAATTTTATAATACTGAAACAGATATTGACAAATGCCTGAAGAATAAACACCGCTTAGGACGTTAAATTATTAGAATTATAATGCTTAAGTAACCATTTTATTACAACGTAACCAAATACAACGTACAGTGCAATGGAACAGAATAAGAATACAAATTAGATAGGATGTCAGCAAGACAAAGAACCTAATATAAACATAAGTGATAGTGCCAAAGTCCATGATGAATTATCCAATCATGTATCATCATTATAGATATAAAGTTCCTGTATCATATTACTCTAATAATACGTTTATCCTAATACTCCCACTTAATGATTATACTTGAATCAGTTGAATGTTTATTGTTCTTTAATCTTGATAACGCCTAACATGTTCCTGAATTTCTGAAAAGTATCTTTACTAAGTCCTTTTCTAAATATATCCGCTAGCATAGTCTCACTGGAACAATATTTAACAGAAATGATATTCTCGTGAACTTTCTCTCTCACATAGTGATATGCATCATGTTTTGTCCGGGAGTGGAATTTCGGATTTCTTGATAGCTCAATAGCCCCTTGGCTGTCTTCACAGATGATGGTAGGCTCTCGTTGTGTTATTGAGATACTATCCAGTAGTTTCCTCAACCAGACTACTTCTTGGCATGCTGTACTTAAAGATACATACTCGGCCTCTGTTGTTGATCTTGAAACCCATCCCTGTCCTTTGCTACACCAACTCACGGTATACCCATTAATTTGATATATGTACCCTGTAGTAGATCAACGTGTCACTATATCTCCACCCAAATCAGCATCTGAATATCCTGACAATATTGGATCATTGCCATCTGTGGTAAAATGTAAACCATAATCCATTTTACCTGGAATGTAACGTAGGATCCTTTTAATTCCTCTCCAATGCTCCTGTCCAGGTTTTGCCATAAACTTTGATAGAGTTCCAACTGCAACAGCTAAATCGGGTTGACTTATCAATGTAGCATAGTTTAAGCATCCAATTGCCATTTGATATTGTTTCACATAAACTGGATTCTCACCTTCACTTAACATTTTATACTTCTTTCCAAATTCAAGTGGTGTTGAGACTGCTTTACAATTTGGCATGTCGAATCTTTTCAATATTCCTTGTAGATATTTCCCCTGAATAGTTGTTAATATTCGTAATCGTTGATTTCGTTTTACACTCATCCCTAGTACATAATGAATCTCACCAAGATCTTCAACATGAAATCTATTTGCAATTCCTGACTTTTCTTTTTCCAACATCTCAATAGAATTGCAGAAATGGAGCATGTCGTCAACATATATTGCGATTATGACAAAGTGTATCTTGCCATTTTTGGACTTCACGGATTTGACATATACGCAAGTATTCATTAATCTTTCTTGCACCATTCAAAACAAATGTTTATCGATGAGAGGTATCCAGCACCTTGCAGCTTGCTTCAACCCCATACTTGGCCAAATGATATTCAAGATGATCTTTGTCAACAAACGATCAGGCTGCCGTAAAGAGATTTCTTCCTCTAATTCTCCTTTGAAGAAATGCAGTTTTGTTTATCTGTTTAATGTATTTGCACATGCCAATAATGAACTGGATGGTATTATATCTTGCCACTGGAGCAAAAGCATTTTGTAATCTACTCCATATGATTTAGCATAACCTTTAGCAACATTCCTTTAAATCATTCAATTGAGCATTACTTCTTTCTTCACTTTGTAAACCATTTCATTCTGAATACATTCTTGTTTTAAAAATAAATGTACTAAACCTAGTATGATTATCTTTCAAGGAACTCACTGCATTCATTCGCGCCTCTGTTACGCATTTATACGTGCTTCTGTCGATTGTTTGGCAGTTGTTACTGACTGTGTAACATTCTTCGTCAAATCTTTGAGGTGCTCTTCCTATCCTTCCACCTTCGAGTTGCCAAACTTCATTCATAAATCTCTCTTCGTAAGAATTTTTTCCTACTCGATTGTAATCATCTACTTCTCTTGCATGAACATTACCGTTTTCATGTTCAGTACTTCGATCTTCTATTGATTGCCTTTCATCATTGCTATTTACAGGAACATCATGTACATTAGATTTTCTTCATCTTCAATGAGTTTTTGCTTACGCTGTTTGTTTTCAAAGTTATAAAATTGCTGCTCGAGAAACATAATGTCACGACTTTTATAAAACTACTTCGACATTGGATCAAACACCTTAAAACTTTTTGTCCCATCAGGATAACCCATGAAAATCATCTTGAGAGATTTTGCATCCAACCTTTTACTTTACTGTTTAGGAATGTGCATATATGTTATGCAGCCAAATACTTTCAGATTACTTACATCAGGTTAAATTCCAAAAAGACACTGATAAGGAGTTATACCTTCCAAAGCAATTGCTCGACTTCTATTTCGAAGGTAAGTTGCTGTATTTACAGCTTGAGCACAGAATTTGTTGGGAAAACGTGAGTGCATCAACATACTTCTTGCTGATTCCATAATCGTACGATTCATCAGCTCTGCAACTCCGTTTTGCTCTGAGTTATACGGAACGGTTGTTTGATGTGTGATACCATTGTCCTTTAAAAACGACTCAAACTCTTTTGATTGTACTCACCACCGTTGTCTGTGCGTATAATCCTAACTTGCTTACTTTATATTAAAGTTGAAAACCTTTAATTTTTCCAAACTTCGTTCTTGTTCAACAAAAGTAAACTTGTACATATCTGGTGTAGTCATCGATAAGGAGATAATATCGAATTCCACCAATGGAATTCTCTTTGTGTAAGATCCACATACCTCGCTGAACGGTTCCTTAGCTCGTTGTGAAACGCCTCGAAAAGAGCAACCATGCTGTTTCCCATCACACAAGCTTACAAACTGATTTCACCTGTTACATTGCCAATTCCATCGACTCATATCATTCTCGACGAGTTTACATTATTTATTCCAAGATTCACAACTCCAATGCCATAAATTAAATGTGTTTGTGTTTTTGTTCTTGCAACATTCAATACTCAACAATTTTCAAAATGTACAGTTTTCCTTGTAGTTCTCCAACTGCTAACAGTTTGAATTCTTCTAGTTTACAAACATCGTTTTCGAAGTAACAATCGCTCCAAGTCTTAACATCGCTCGAAACAGATAATAAATTCCTATTTGTCAGGTAAGTACAATACATCCAACGAGTTGTTTTGTTTCCGTCGCCAAGAATAGCTTTTGCCTTATAAGTTCCTTTGCCATACGCTAAAATACAATTCCAAGGTTTACTACACACAGTTGATTAAATTCTACGTAATTTCATAAGCCTTCCAAATCGTAAGTCATGTGCTGCGTTGCACCGGAGTCGATAATCCAATCTGAATTCCTTGTAATATTTGATGAATTTGAAATCAACGCATCACCATTATCGATCTCGCTATTTTCTTCGTTTTCTGCAAGCTGGGCAGACTTTTTTCCCTCATTGATTGAAAAATTGCCACTGTTTAGAAACTGCTTCGTCTTCTTCTGCAGACAGTGTTTTGCTAGATGCCCTTTCTCGTCACAAATGAAACACTTGCCACGAAAGCATTTCTTTCGATTAAAAATGTTCTTATTCTGACCACCACGTTGTTTCCCACCTCGAAACTCAATGCATCCGTTTTCTGGTCTCGGAATCTTTGGCTCTGTCTTCATTATTTAAAACATTTTTCACTTTCTCATAAGAAAGGTCATTCTCACCAACAAGAATCCAGTGCCGTTATTAACGACTTATATTTATCTGGCAACTAGCCAACAGAGTCACCGTCCGTTCCTATCCGATAACTTACGCCCATTTCCCTTAACTGATCAAATGAATTTAAGTTGCAGTATGTTCCAACATATTCTCCTCCAACATGAAATTTTGACAATATTATGCGATATATAACCTTTTGAAGGAACGATTCCCTGGCAAATTGACTTTTCAAAGCGTCCCATGCTTCTTTGCCGTTATCGTTTCTCTAACGTGCACTTGCTGATCAGACTCGAAAGACAAGCAAATATACGTCCATGCCTTTTTCGCGGATGAATCGAATCTCCTTCGAGCATCAGCACCGGCATCGCCGTTAGTAGCAATCCACTACCTTCGGCGAATTCCAATGTCCATGCTTTCAAATATAACCGCATTGAAGCCCATGACCGGTAGTTCGTGCCATTCCAATTTGCGAACTTAAGAGCGCTATCCGAAAGAAGATGCAAGTTTTAACACTTACTTATCCAAGACAGTTTGCGTCCTGGGCCCATAACCTATTAGAATTATATCGCTTAATCAACCATTTTATTACAACGTAACGAAATACAACGTGCAGCGCAATAGAACAGAATAAGAATACCAATGAGATAGGTGGTCAACGAGACAAAGAACCTAATATAAACATAAGTGTTAGTGCCAAAGTCCATGATCAATTATCCAATCATGTATCATCATTATAGATATAAAGTTCCTGTATCATATTACTCTAATAAAACGTTTATCCTAATAAAAATAACTAAATAAACACAACTCGTTTCACAAGTACATGATTAAAGATAACCAATTTTATGATTGCCCATAAAAAGATTAGATAATACCAGAGAAAAAGGGTAGCCCATTGACCAAATTTTCCGTGAAGGAATGTGATAATCCTTATGTTATCAGTTTTGTTACGATTGTTTTATAATGGCTTTTGCAAGCTAAGGCTGCACGTTATGAAGCTCCATCAAAATCTTTTGCATATTTAAATAGAGCATCTCTGATTTTACATCTTGGTGCTTTCTATATGTGCTATCCATCTTGCAATTTATTTTAAATTCGTTTTTACTGACCGTTAAGGTTTAGCAAAAGCCATACCTAGATATTCACGAAACGTATTTTCAATAATAAAAGAAGGCCTTTAAAATACGATAAAGATTCCCTCGATGTAAACAAAAAGAGCCTATGTGAACAATTTACTTAACACTTTTACAGTTTCACGCCATGGTAAATCAAATGATTGGATGGAAAACCAATGGGAAAATTCTCCGCAAGAAGTTAGCACGTTAGCCTATATTATATAAGGAAATGAGGACTGTTCTAAATAAAAATTTTCTAGACTAAAGAAAGTCAAATAGTGTCTAATTGTCCAAAATTTTTGATATTGTACTTATGTAAGTTTTTTTTATCAATTTTTTGTTACTAATTTAAATCATTAATTTCGCTCAAGAAGATTTTACAATTGCATTTAACATAACAGGATACTTTAAAGGTATACATGTAAATTAGAAGATTTCAGAGTTGAGAGTTCTGTGTTTGGTAATATCTATATAATTTCTTTTTTTATCAGTTTTAAACTCTGTTAGACTTCAGGGACTAAAAATTTCTAGTGACAGAGATCATGTGGAAGTATTTTACAATAAAGAATGGGGAACAATTTGTGATGATAACTGGGATTTAAACAATGCTAAAATTGTTTGTCGACAACTTGGTTATGTCTATGCTGTCAGGGCTTTACTAGGAGGTAGTGTTCCTTATGGCAGTGGAAGAATATGGTTAGACGGAGTTCGTTGTGTAGGAAATGAAAATAATATTTGGAGTTGTTCACATATTGGATGGGGAACACATAATTGTAATCATATTGAAGATGCTGGTGTACATTGTTCAGGTTTGTATGAACAAAATTGGAAAATAATTCAACACAAATTCACCTCCCTTTTTATATAACTTCTTTGTCGGTCACGCTCTACTAATGAGCATGTTAGGTCACAAGTTATGAATATTCGCACATATATAAGTATTCACACCAACCCCCAATCAATGTTCTAGTTTTAGACCTGGGCGTAACCAACCTGCTTGTATTAAGTCTTTGGCCTGTTGATTTACTTACGAAAACAATAATTTTGATTGTATGTCAGTTGGCGCTTCATTAAACATTTTTCAAATTCTACTGCAGATGCATAGATGCAGATATCTACCACTTCATGCCTGAATGACCAACCTTGTAAAAATTTTTTAAAGGATTGCGTGCTTCGTCGATCTTGTTTGGTATGGATGATACGCTTTAATTCTTTCTTTGATGCATTTTCGTTTGCAAAAGTTAATCCAGCATTTGAATTAACAAACTCAAAATTTCCGACTCCTCCAACGACAGTATATGATAAATAATATGCCTATTGTGCTAATTTTTCCAAAGCAAATCTCATTGCTTTCAATGGCTTAGTTGTTTTTGGTAGGTTTTTAATGATGAAAATAATTCAAAATAGCATTACAAAAAATAGCATTCTTTTGCATTGGAATTTACTTAAGTTTGTTTAAAATGAACATTTTATGTGATACCAAAATAAATTTGTCATTCACGTAATAAGAATTTGTAAAAAGCAGTCTAACGTTGTAACTGATTGGTTTGAGAATTTGTTTTCAAGTCAGAACTGATTTCAACCAATCAAATTAATACGTTGAAATGAGCTCAATTTATTAAAAACGAAAACGAGAAATTGATATCATGTGAAATGGGATGAATAAAGATAATTACCTAAGAAATTAGCCATGTTTGAATTTGATATACTTTAGAAAGTTCCATGTTATGTTAAGTAAAAAAGGAGGTAAACCATATTAAAATAAACTACAAAAATTGAACAAAAGATGATTATAACAATACTCCTTTTTTGGCTTTATAGTATTTTATCTATGAACGGAAACTAACATCTGCAGTGCACATTTTTCTTTTAGTTTATAGAGACACTTGAAATAGTTAACCAATTTGAATAACATCAAAATAAACATATTTTATCCCGGTGTGTTGTTATAAGGAATTAAAATAATTTGGTCTGTTATTTTCGATGTAAATGGTATTTCTTGGAATTGTTAAAACAATATTTTTGTTGCATATTTTGTCTGACACTAAATTTCTGCAGTTATGCCTCTTCATCCCAAAGATAATGAAAAATTGTCAAAATTTGTGTCCCCGTCCACAGAAAAGTACTAGTTTTGCGTTGATGTCAAAATTCAAAAAGCCAGTATTACTAGCACTTAAGGACAAGACAATTCCTGCTTCAGTTATATTTTTTCTCAGCTGCTGTTTGAGAAGAATAGAAAATAACTCGCCAGAATTCAAAAGAGGAATTTCATTGATAGCCACATTGCGTCTTCAATGATAAGTAAGGAAAACATAAAGAAAACCTAAAATTTAGAGCCTATCACATATTTTAAAAACAGTGGCTCTTATGGATTAAACTTCGTTATCAAGAGCATATTTTTCATTTATCATAGTCATGCTTATACGTAATCCAACAGATAATCTAACAAAATCTTTTAATCTTATAAAACACTCTTATGAAACTTACTATTGTATGTTTTTAATCATTTTCTGTAGTTTAGAGTAGCGCAACCATGCATCATATATACATAGCTGCCATCTGGTAATTTGACTAATCTAAAATTCTTTAAAAAATTTAACCGTTCGCAAATCTTTTTATCATTTTATACTTATCCTTATGATGAAACAAAAACGAATTGATTGATCACAACCAATGGTAAAGTTCTACTAATTGATACTTATAAATGTCTAGAAATGTATTATTTCATATTTCCATTGAAACGCAAGAGGAGATAGTAGCTACATCAAAAATATTTGAAGCAACCATCATTAAGTATTTTTATTCTAAATACAAATAACAAAATTGTTTTTCAAGTAACACAGACATTTAAGAATTATAAAATATTCGCAAAATGTTTTACGTTTTTAGATGAGAATGATAAAAAACTAAACTTGAATGCTTGTGTGATAAAAATATTTGATTGGAAATAATAACTAAGATTTACAATTGTGGGAAATGATAAAGAAAAAGAGCTAGATAATATAACAAATTGCAATGGGAAAATCATCATCTAACATCAATACAGAATTCATTTTAAAGAGCAAAAAATACATGCAAAACAAATGATAAATTTCTCGGCTCTTTTTTCTTCTGCTACAATTATTCAACACTGCAAGAATATTTCGGACAGATGAGAAATAACTTTTAATTGTCTGAAAGAAAATATTTGAAGAAGTAAGAATTTTTGAAGACTGCAAAGTTGATTTCCTCTATTTAGCTTTTTAGACTTTCTTGAATTTATCAGTTCTGTCAAAATGCTCATAAATTCCATTCAATTCAGAGCTTATATCATTATGAGAGTCGAATTTTCTATACGGCTGAAAGAAGTTGTAAACAGAATATCGTGTATATCATAAAATGTAAGTCGAAAATTTTGCTCTGAAAATGTTTAGGGGGGGATGGGTGTCTCTAACCATTAATGTGTCTTTTTTGTCCTTATTTTCTGCATTTTTGAGAGATGAAAGGGGATGAATACATTGAAATAAACTAAATTTATTAAAAACATGAGAAATTAAAATCATATGAAATGGGATGTATAAAGATAATTACCTAAGAAACTAGCCTTGTTTGAACTTGATTTACTTAAAAAGTTTAATGTTAGGTTAAGTAAAAAAGGGTAAATCATATTATAGTGAACTATAAAAATTGAACAAAGTTGCTTATAGACAATACACGTTTTTTTATTTATAGTATCTTATCTATGAGCGGAAACTAACATCTGCAGTGCACATTTTTCTTTCAGTTTATAGAGGCACTTGAAATAGTCAACCAAGTTAAATAACGTCATCATAAACATATTTTATCTCGAGAAGTTTTTATAAGGATTTAAAATAATTTGGTCTGTTATTTTCGATGTAAATGGTATTTCTTGGAATTGTTAAAACAATATTTTTGTCGCATATTTTTTCTGACAAAATTTCTGCAATTATGGCTCTTTATCCCAAAGATAATGAAAAATTATCAAAATTTGTGTCCCTGTCCACAGAAAGTACTTGTCTTGCATTAATGTCAAAATTCAAAAAGCCAATATTACTAGCACTTAAGGACAAGACAATTTCTGCTTCAGGTATATTTTTTCTAAGCTGCTGTTTGAAAAGAATAGAAAATAACTTGTCCGAATTCAAAAGAGAAATTTCATTGGTAGCCACATTGCGTCTTCAATGGTAAGTAAGGAAAACATAAAGAAAACCTAAAATTCAGAGACTATCACATAATTTACGAACAATAGCTCTTATGGATTAAGCATCCTTATCAAGATCATACATTTCATTTATCATAGTCATGCTTATACTTAATCCAACAGATAATCTAGCACAATCTTTATCTTATGAAATACCTAAAGCATTATGAAACATTTTTGTATGCTTTTTTAAACATTTTCTGTAGTTTATAGTAGTGCAGCCATACCTAATATATACATAGTTGACACTTGGTAATTTGACTACTCTAAAATTCTTTAAAAAACTTTTACCGTTCTTTTCATCATTTTTTATTCATCCTTATGATGAAACAAAAACGAATTGATTGATCACAACCAATGGTAAAGTTTTACCAATTGATATTTTGAATGTCTGGAAATGTATTATATCATATTTCCATTGATACGCAAGAGAAAATATTAGCTACATCAAAAATATTTGAAGCTACCATCATTAAGTATTTTTATTCTAAATACAAATAACAAAAAAATGTTTTTCAACTAACACAGACATTTAAGAATTATAAAATATTTGCAAAATGTTTTACGCTTTTAGATGAGAATGATAGTAAACTAAAACTAGAATGCATGTGTGATAAAGACTATTCGATTGGACATAATGACTAAGATTTACAATTAAGGGAAATCATAAAGAAAGAGAGGTACATAATATAACAAATTGAAATGAGCAAATCATCCTCTAACATCAATACAGAATTCATTTTAAAGAGCAAAAAATACATGCAGAACAAATGATAAATTTCTCGGCTTTTTTTCTTCTGCTACAATTATTCAATATTGCAAAATATTTCCGACAGATGGGAAATGCCATTTAATTGTCTGAAACAAAATATTTGAAGAAGTAAAAATTTTTTAATACTGCAAAGTTGATTTCCTCTCTTTAGCTTTTTAGACTTTCTTGAATTTAGCAGTTCTGTCAAAATTCTCATAAATTCCATTCAATTCAGAGCTTGTAATTACTATGAGAGTCAGATTTTCTGCACATTGAAAGAAGTTGTAAAGTCATTAATGTATATCATGTAAAATGTAAGTCGAAAATTTTGCTCTGAAAATGTTTAGGGGGGGATGGGTGTCTCTAACCATTAATGTGTCTTTTTTGTCCTTATTTTCTGCATTTTTGAGAGATGAAAGGGAATGAATACATTGAAATTGACTAAGCTTATTAAAGACATGAGAAATTAAAATCATGTGAAATGGGATGTATAAAGATAATTAGCTAAGAAACTAGCCTTGTTTGCATTTGATGTACTTTAGAAAGTTTCATGTCAGGTTAAGTAAAAAAGGGTAGTTCATATTATAATGGACTATAAATATTGAACAAAGTTGCTTATAGACAATACACGTTTTTTTTATAGTATCTTATCTATGAGCGGAAACTAACATCTGCAGTGCACATTTTACTTTTAGTTTATAGAAACACTTGAAATAGTTGACCAATTTAAATAACGTTTCATAAACATATTTTATCTCGAGAAGTTGTTATAAGGATTTAAAATAATTTGGTCTGTTATTTTCGATGTAAATTGGATTTCTTGGAATTGTTAAAACAATATTTTTGTTGCATATTTTTTCTGACAAAATTTCTGAAATTATGGCTCTTTATCCCAAAGATAATGAAAAATTATCAAAATTTGTGTCCCTGTCCACAGAAAGTACTTGTCTTGCGTTAATGTCTAAATTCAAAAAGCCAATATTACTAGCACTTAAGGACAAGACATACTCTGCCCAGGTATATTTTCGCTTCGCTTTGAGAAGAATAGAAATAACCGTCTGAACTCAAAGAGAAATTCTAATATAGCCATACATGCGTCTTCTACAGGTAAGGGAAAACATAAAGAAACCTAAAATTTGGAGTCCTACTGCATAAATTTAAGAACAATAGCTCTTATGTATTAAACTTCCTTATGAAGATCATACATTTCATTTATCATAGTCATGCTTATACTTAATCCAACAGATAATCTAACACAATCTTTATCTTATAAAATACCTAAAGCATTATGAAACACTTTTGTATGCTTTTTTAAACATTTTCTGTAGTTTATAGTAGCGCAGCCATACTTAATATATACATAGTTGCCACTTGGTAATTTGACTGATCTAAAATTCTTTAAAAAACTTTCACCGTTTCGAAAATGTTTTTATCATTTTTTATTTATCCTTACGATGAAACAAAAACGAATTGATTGATCACAACCAATGGTAAATCTCTACTAATTGATATTTATTTCTATTGATACGCAAGAGAAAATAGTAGCTACATCAAAAATATTTGAAGCAACCATCATTAAGTGTTTTTATTCTAAATACATATAACAAAAAAATATTTTTTAATTATTATAGACATTTAGGAATTATAAAATATTCGCAAACTGTTTTATGTTTTTAGATGAGAAAGATAGTAAACTAAAACTTGAATGCATGTGTGATAAAGATTATTTGATTGGACATTAAAGCTAAGATTTAGGATTGATGAAAATGATAATGAAAAAGAGTTACATAACTCAAAAAATTGAAATGGGCAAATCATCATCAAACATCAATACAGAAGTTATTTTAAAGAGCAAGAAATAAATGCAGAACAAATGATATATTTTCATTCTCTTGTTTCTTCTGCTACAATTATTCAATATTTCAAGAATATTTTTGACAAATGGCAAATGCCTTTTAATTGTCTGAAACAAAATATTTGAAGAAGTAAGAATTTTCTAATACTACAAAGTTGCATTCCTCTATTTAGCTTTTAAACTTTTACTTCTAGCCTCTGTCAAGATGCTAACAAATTCTACTTAATTCAGAACTTATATACTACGAGAGTCGAACTCTTTCTATACGACTGACAGATGAAATAGGAATTTCATTTAACAGCCTTTCTCTCTAAAATAGATGCATATAGTTACAGAGAGTCCAGGGATTCTGTTAAACACTGAGCAGCCAGATGATTTTGAACTAATTTATTGCCTTAGTTAAGGAACATTGCCTTTTACCTATTCATCAGAAAATTAGCAATAATAGATAAGTTTGAAATTAACTCATTTTGAATTTTTTCTAAGCTGCTCATGGAATTTCTATATTTACTATTTCCTTATAGTGGATAGACACTGAATGTATTTATTTCTTTTATTTCTATCTTCGTGAAACTCCTTACATCTATTTATTCAAAATAAGTTCTACGCTAAGGAACTCTACTTATATGATGTTGTAAACACGAGTCATTATAATGAACAATTTTTCGAATCTATTGAAACAATATACAATCATCATCAATTTTCTGAAAGGAAACGTGAAAATACTTTTTAGAGAAGGAATTTAAAATGTTACATAATTATAGAAATCAATACTTGACTTATACATCCCAAAAAAGTTTAAGAACAACCTGATTATATGATTATATTGATGATAAGCCTTTCATAAATGAAGTAAATGTTTTACAACGAAAGCTTTAAAAAAAGTAATAATCGTCCACCTTCTAACAAATAGATAATAAAGATGATATCAAGCTCAGCAAAAGTGTTTCTTGGGACTCTCATAATCCTGTCTATTAGTGGCCAAGTAGTAAATGGGAATGACGACATATCAATTTGCAAGAAAAGCTTAGAGACACTAAAAGACAACGTGAAAGAATGGATGGAAACTTGCGTTGATAAAAATGGCAATGACGATAGCAAAACTGCATGCAAGGAATTAAAACAGTACAACAAAGAAATGATGCAAATGCAAACAGAGATGTGTTTTTACAAAGGTATAATCATTAGATTTGACAAATTTTCATAGTTTCTTGTTCATAGCGCCAAAAACAGTATGCAACACCAATCGGTAGAAGTTATGCAGCCAATCTAATTTCAGTTACTAGTAATTATTCTACAGTGAAAAATTCTTTCTAAAAACACTTATTCTGCTCTTTCACCAAATATTATGATTTTAAAGTCTATGAAAATTTGCATTTTTTCAATCCACTTGCATCGTTGTGATTTTTATTTTTTTTATTATTTATTTAGATGTTTATCCAAAGCCATATTTGATTATTATGAGCTTTGATAAAGTATACTCTGTTGATTCTATTACTGGAGATATTCATGTCAGCACTATTAATGGATCCAATAAGAATAATTTTGACCATGCCTCAAAATATAATGACATTGACATTGATGTAGTTGAGAATGTGCTTTATTACATTGATGACAAAGACATCAAACGGGGAAATTTTGACTTAACTAGAAACGAAATTTTTGCAAAAAATGTTTTTGTTCGTGATATTACAGTTGACTGGATTGGTCGTCGTATCTTTTACATTGACTTCACGAACATTATCTACCAAATTTTTTTGGAAAAGAAAATTACAAGTGTTATGAGGCTTCAACCAGGCTTGCAATTTTCCAGCATTGCATTTGACTCAAAACATGGGTAAGGCGATATTGAAATTCTTTTTATTAACTTGTAAACGTAAAATTAAGAAACTATGTCAATCTAAGGGAGGGTTTTCTTAAGTAAGCTAAAAGTTTTTATTATTATAGACGGTATTTTAATTTAATAGTAAAGTTGAATTTTTGAAGTCCGTATTATGGCCTGTTATTTAAAAGTACAAGAATAGAGAAAATATTTATTTTCGAGGGAAAACAAAACTCGCTTTTTCCCGAAGGAGCGAATATTAAGTATTTTTTGTGTATAAAGAAACAAACGTCATATAATTTGACAGCTTTTCAATAAAATGAACGAGATTTGGCCAGCAAAATTTTATTGCGTGACTATGAGGCATTTCAAACGAACTGAAAAGATGAGCTCAATGCGTGTGATTATTCAGCACACATGAAGTAGAAAATAACATACAGATCCTGAAATTGCAAAAATCGACAGCAATATTTATGTTGAGCAAACAAAGAGCTTTAACAAAAATGTAACAATGAGAAAATAATGTTTATAATTGATGAAGTCGTTAAATGAAATAAAACAGAGAGATAGAAACTGCAATAAATATGAAATAATTACTTTACAGATGAAGGTTTAGTCAAATACTCACAGAACATTGGTTTGCCACAACCTAGAAACAAAAAGTAGTCCATCTTCACAGTGCAGCTTCGTGTTGTACATTTAATGAGATTACTGGCTTCGGCTGGCCACCTAAGAGCGCTTTTCTTTGTCAAAAAATGCAATTTGCTTGACGCCTACATGGTAATCATATGATTAATAAGATATGCCCTACACCAAAAATTTCAACAGATTGGGAGTATTGTTTGTTGCTTTGCTTTGCCCTCTCATATACTTTAACCCTTTTTGAGGGAGTGTAAGAAGTGTGTAACAATCTCAATACGAAATTGCAATAAAGTTTTAAAAAATTCACGAAGATGGTGAGCGTAAAAAACTTCAAATTTTCGTTTTTTATTGAAGATAAAAAAACTGCACACATTCCCACGCAGTTACATCAAAAGTATGAAAAAGGATTTTAGTTTTCAAAAAATGTGAAAATTTAAAAAAATCAGTACATCAAGTTTATAGTTTTTCAAGCCTTCTTTTAACTTGCATGAATGACGGAGTATATTGAAAAGTCAAGAGCTGCAAATTAACGGTATGCACACTACCATTCAATAAATTCAATCACACATCCAGTCAAATCACCGGAATAGTAAATCATTTCGCTACCTTTAGTTCATGCAGTGTTTCTTAGTGTAACTTAGGCAAACGTTAGATCTGTAGTTGCTCAACTGATGATGAATGTGAATATAATAATCATGTTAGAGATTAAAAAGAAATTGGCTGAAAAGCCTTATGAAGCAAGAAATTTCTGAATATATTATAAATAATTTACGAATTTAAAAAAATTTCTTCTTCTAACGATTCCTATGAACTCTCCATTCATGAGAGACCTTTAATCAATAAATACAAGTCTTCACTCATGGTTCAAGAAAGTTCCATTGCACTAAACCTCTCTCAGCTTCAGTATATTTTACTTCTCAACTTCTTTATCATGTATTCCATTTGACACCGCCTCCTTAAATCGTAATTTAACACCTTTTCTAAATACAATATCTTGTCTTAACATCTCATTATAAATTGTTACTTGCCTGAATATGTCTTGAGTAAGGATGAAACGTCAGTATTAATTCCATTTTACAATTTTTGGTCTATTTCTATGGCTCTAATTAAAACTTTATGTTGGGCATTAATTTTTATCATATTACAAGAAAAAATTAATTTCCACGAACACAAAAAACCAAAAGAACGGCAGTATATAGGAGAAAATTTTTAAAGAGTTTGGGGCGATGATAATGGGTAAGCTGCGATGATAATCAAAACTGCTACTTGCATCAAACATTTTTGATAAAGTAAAAGCCATAATGTTTAAGCAGTTTTATTAGCTTGTCGAATCCAGAGATTCTTAAAAACACGAACATGACATGGCGATAGACTCATCATTTTCAAATGATACCAATAGCGCTAGCTCCAGTGTCATTCTATTTCTGATTTTTCTGAAAAACAATGAAAAAATTTGACAATTAAAAACAGAAGGTTAAGATAGTTGTAAAAAATCGTTTGTCCAAACAAACTGAAAAAAAGTATCAACAAAAGACATGGTTTTTGAAGCTATAGCTCTTTTAAAGACATATGTAGAGGATGATCCATCCAAAGAGCTGTTACGTTTCATGCAAGATGAAACTGAAACATTAAGAAAGCTTAAAATTGAAATGACAAAGCTTTCTTAATTTTATATCTACAATAAATGGTGCATATCATTTACCAACACCAAATTGTCAACTCGAACAAAATTTCCACGCATCAGATAATTTTCAGCATTATCAATTACCAACACAATTCATTCAGCAGCCACTCCAAACTACAACATTGCTCATTCCGACAATAATCTCAAACAATACTAATCTATATAGAAGTTATGTGAATAAAAATAACATACTACATTTACTATTATGCTCTTTATCACGTGCAATCTTTAATTACTGCATATATTTTAGTTCGGTTTTTAAAAGAGAGATTTCAAATGATAAAGGTGATCTTTTACTGTTAGTTACAATAGCTTTATTTTGCTATATTATCAAATTTCATGAATATGTTCCATTAAACCGTCTATAGATGAAAGTAGTTCTGAATACTTTAAAAACATCTTTGTCTAAACTAAAAAAACATTCTATCTTTCGTTTCTTGCATTTATTAGCCTGCTTATTGTTTATGTAGTTCAGTACTTATAGAGAACACTAATGTACAAAACAATTATTTTTATTAAGGTATCTATTCTTGGCAGAAAGTACAGAACTTTCCTTATGGTTATGGAGCATGACTGCAAATAAACATCATATTTTTTCAGTTTCACTTCAGTCAATAGCACGTGATCTAACGCTTGACATGGCTAAAGAGAGGATTTATTGGCGAGTTTCAAACGGAAATGTTTTTTCTTGTGATTACAACTCCCATAATGTAATAGATTTTGGAATCCTAGGTCCAATGGCGTGTATTTGGGATTTCATTTATATCATGACTAGTGTTGGACGAAGTGCTGTTAGTGTCCATAACACAAATAGATCAACGTATAAGACGTAAATACTTTCTTCCTGTAAACAACGGTGATCTCGATTTGGCATTGTAGCTATATACATTTACCCTGACTCAAACGGTAGTTAAATATTTACTTATTTGAAATAATAATCTAAGATTCTGCAACTCCCAATGTAATGTTCATAAAATGAAAGATTAAAAAGTTCAAAGTCCATAATTGCCTCATTAGTAAATTGTTGTTCTTCCTAAAATTGGAAAATTTGTTCATAATCCAAGCAAAAAGCTCTAATTTGGCATTTTGCCTGTCTATTCTTCACTTCTTGGTGTTTAAATTAGAGTCTTATTGTTTCTTATGACCATTTCACAATCATTGGGCTTGAACCAGTCTTAAAATAAAAATCATGAAAATAGATTGAAAGACAAAAACGTCCAAATTCAGCATGTTGTGCAGTGTTTAATGTTTTTTCATTTCTTAAAATTTCAGTATATTGCAAAAACAGAGTTTAAACTTTACATCTTTGGATTAAACTAGATTTGAAACTTTTCACTTTCTTTTTGCATGCTGTTCAAATTGAGGCGATTACAAGTACTCTCGTGGTTTCTGAGATTAATTTTTATCCATTACTTTAAATAACAAGGCAAAGCCATGCCAAAGTACATGAGCTCTTGATACATTTGTGAGAACTACTGATGAATTGATAATTTTTGAACATTTCACAATTATCTAACTTCTTTAGTATATCCTTTATAGTGTCTCAAAAACAGCAAGCAAATTTGTTCATACTCTGTAAATTTTTCAACATTTATTTAATTGTTTTGTTTTTACGAAATGTGCGACACTCAAAATACCAACATTGCATAATAAACTTGCTTCTACGTAGTCAACGTGGATACTGAGTGACAAATTGTGCTCTTTGGAGAATATGTTTCATTTAAAATACCCTGGTTGATTTTATTTTAATTTTATTGATCGATATAGCGACAAGCACTTTTCACTTTCCTTTGTGTGGACCCAACACATACTATCGTAAAATTAATGGAACATTGAACTGCACGTGTATGGAAGGATACTCAGGAGAATGTAACTCGTGCCAAGGTATGGATTTATTACTGTCTTTATCAAGATGTTTTATCACCGATCAT